ATATATATAGTTGTGTATCAATGTATATTCGGAGCGCGCGGTAGCTCAGTCGGCTAGGTCGTGAATGGGCACGCGGGAGACTGTGATTCGATTTCCAGCCAGTGCGACTTTTTACATGTGCTTTTTCACCACGCAATGCTCCTCAAGGAGGGCTTAGGCGACTTCCTTGCAGTATAATTGCCTAATTTCCCCCTACCCCCCTCCTGTAATGGGAGGCCTCCCATCCCTTTCCTTGTCCCTTTCCCTAGTGCTAAGTGCCCATAGTAGCGCCCTTATTAAAAGGGGCCAGGTGTAGAGCACTATAATATAAAAAAAAGATGTATATTCGGTCAGTACACTTTAATTAAAAAAACCTATGTATACACGACAATATCGTTATAGTTACCGTGTATATGTATATATAGGGGTTATCATACCCACTAACATCCACACACCCTTAGATACTGTTTATTAATTCATGATACGTTATTCTGTACAAATTCTTACACTTCCAAAATATTTTTATAAAATAGTGATCGAAGAAAAAAGTTTATTTTTATTGAAATCGGCTTTTATAAATGTAAATAATAAAATTTAACAGAAAAAAGAAAATGGCAATGTATACTACCAAAAAAGTTTTTATGTCAGCTGTGCCAATCATTTTGAAAGAAATCTAGAGAACCCTAAAAGATGACTTAAGACACACACACACACACACACACCGAGATAGAGAGAGAGAGAGAAAGAGAAAAACAAAGAAACACATTTATTTCACAGTAATGTATTCGGGAGTCTGTGGTTAGAAATCTTTTATATTCAGGGCGCCAGACACCAAAAAATCGCCAAAAGTGGGAGTCTTTTCTTTGTCAACGATTTTGATTTCGAAATTTATAAAAATATACACAAAATATCATCCTACTGTCTTGACATTGAGCAAGGTCAGAAACATTGTTTTTAATGCAAAATAAAAAAAAATTTGTACTTTTTTCTCCAATTTTCATTAAATATTATGAGAAGTATGTCTTCTAAGAAATAATGTTTCTTTTTTACATGTATATTAAGCGAGAATCCGTCTAATTTTTCGTGGCGCAGTAAAAACTGTGCAAAATTTACTGCAATTTTCTCTTTGTCTTTATTAATATTTCTCTAAACTCCCCAGAAAAAAAGGTGTATTTTTATAAGAGTAACTTTCTAAAAAGTTTACACATTAATGCAAATGTTGTTTGTTTTTCACATCTACACAATACAATAACCACTGATCAAGGGGTATTTAAACTCTCCCATTTCTCACACCTCTACTAGAGCCCATGAAAAACGTGTGGCTTAAAGAATCTTTTTTCTCCGAAATTTGCTAAAAAAAAAGATCGAAAAAATGTATATAAACTTATTGAGCGCTGGAAAACATCATTGATTTGTTTATAAAAATTAACACATTTTTAGTACAACTAACAAACCTTCCTTAATGAAATTTTGTAGTATTTTTTCAACTTAAGCAGTCTTGTACATTTAATTTGCACATTGCAATATACGTAATGAAACGTATATATATATACACATATACATATACGTATATATATGTATATATATATTAGTGGGGCTAACGCACTCCTGCGCGCTCCGCGCGCCAACCCCCCACTAACAGATTGAGTAGACGAATTAACGACATTCCTCGTGTATTTATCAATGCAGGCTGAAAATGAGTTCACAACAGCAGAATACGTGACTCACAAAGAAGTTGATAAAACATATGATTAACTTAACATAATTAAATTGACATAAATATTAATTTTCCAATACTATTTTAAAATAATATTAGAGAGGGTCTTCCATTACACGAATTAAAATTAAAAATAAATGCTATAGTAGTGTTAATAAGAACTTTAAATATATCAGATGGTCTCTGTAAAGGCACAAGATTAAAAATAACAAAATTATTTAAGTATAGCATTTTCTATGTTTATCAACAAATCACAAAGACAAAGTTTTGATTCCTTAGGATTGTACATTACAAAACCTTTATTCTCCCACGAACAATTATACGTTGCTTTATTAAAATGTAAGAATCCAAAAAGAATTTTTATTCTAATTGCATCTGAGAGTAAATCAGAAATTAAAAATATTGTTTAGCTAGAAATTTTTCAGTAATTCAAAAATATGTAACTTTAAAGATCGTCACATTAAAACAGACGTATGTTAATTCATTAGAACCACGAAAAACAAATATGTGAAAAATGTGGGAAGGATTTTAAAAGAACAGATGGGTTAAAATGACGCATAAAATCTCACAACATTAAGCTAACAGAATGAATTATTGTTTTAAAAGCTTAATTGTGTTTGTCTAATTAATTATACCTCCTTCTGATTTCTGTCTTTTACTTAATAAAGTCCTCAAGTAATCAAAAATTTTATATTTGGGTAAAGTAGACATGGACCAGAAAGAGATTCAAAATGTAAAAGTTCAATTAAGTTAAACAAATAATGGTACTTCAGAGATACATAGTGAGTAAGGGGAAGCGAATAGACAGAGGGAGACCTATGATCAGTGGTTTAAAAAAATCCTAAAAACGAGGTACGACTTAGGTACTAAATTGCGTATATTGTATAACATTTATGATGGTAAAACATTAGATAAATAAGTATTTTATTGGGTAGGAGTTGGGGGGGGGTGAGGGAGCTCACTCAAATATAATTTGATTAAAAATGACGTTAAAACAAGCAAATAACTTTGTAAACCATGGTGGAGCTGAAAGGGAGCGGGGGGGCTGAGACTTACTTTCGTCAATACAACTATATAATTTAGGAAGATATATATATTGAATACACTAAATGTTAGTTGCATGTGTGATTCCACGGGTCAATGTGTGTACCGTAAAAAGCAACCCCCCCCCCCCAGGTGCTATAGTGTAAACTTACTACATACTAGATCTTAGAGTACGGCTTAACTACCGACGCTTTGATTCTTTGTTGTCGGCTCCTTTTTACGTAAGTTCCAAGTAATTAATTAACATATGGAATTAACCTATTTCTTATAAAACACGTGTACACTTATTTTTTCTTTAAAAATCTAGGCATTCTTAATTGCCCATAGCTTCATGAATGCAATAGCATCACTAAAAACGAACTGGCAACAATACAAAAAAATCTCTGTCCATATAAAAGAATCGATTTTTCAAAGTGTTGAATCTAATTTTTACTAATTAAAAGGAAACCTATATAGTACATACACACATTTCATATGTTTGAAACGATATTTAAAAACACTTTTTCTTTTACAGACAAAAGACCGAGAAGTGGACTTCGATGTTGATATAGCTATCAAAGTTTGTCGACAAGGTTCCCCCGAAGATGCATTGTTCTTAGCTAAAAAACATGAAAAGCATGATTGGTATCTTTGCATTCAAATAGAAGATAAAGCAGAATATAAAAAGGCTTTGGAATACATAGGCAGTCTAGATTTAAAGCAGGCAGAAATGAATATGAAAAAGTATGGAAAAATACTTATCGAAAATGTTCCTAGTGAAGCAACGCAATTTTTAAAGGTTCTATGTACAAATTGTATTTCAAACCGTGGTGCTAAGGTAATTAAAATTTTTTTTTCATTTTTTAACTTTTTAATGAAAAAATTGTTTTATAAGTTCATATTTCAGTCAAGTATTTTTGATGAGCAGTACTAAAAGGCCTTTTAAATATGTTTTTAGAATCAATATTTTTTTTTCAATTATCTGGTAACAAGTAATGAACCAAAATTAACCTAATATTTTGGTATACTATGACTGTTGTGATAATAATTTCATTTTATTCAAATAAAGTAGGTTTAGACAATTGAACTTTTTTCTTATCATATGTGCAATTTAATGATACTTGACTGTTATACAAATATGAGCAATCATATTCAAAACCTTTATCTATGAGCTTTCTGCCATTAGTAAAATAAAAAAATTTTTGAAGTCATACCTTTGGAACAAAAATTTGAATCCACTTACCTTCAGAAATATAGGAAAATTCAAAAACATTTGGTAAATTGTAAGTAAACCGTAATACGCTTTTAAAATTATAGTATAGTACTATTTTACAAATGAAAAATGACAAGTACAACTTTTATGGACCCTACATGTAAATAATGTACAAGTAATTCTTGAAACTCATTCTAAACCTCCATAGGTGTACAAAACTATACAAAAAATTAGTTTGCTATAAGTCGAGTATTGTTACTATTACCTTGGTGAAAATTTACTGTTGGTGAAAATTTAAAAATGATACAAAAAGTTGGATAGAACATTACTTGCTTCTCGACAATTATCGGAATTAATTTGCGAGACGTACTGGTTACCTTAACTGTAGACGAATACGAAAAAAAGACGCATAACTGAATGTTATTTGCTTTTGACTGTAATTTTTATATGATTGTATGTATTTTTTGTTCATAAAAAAAAAAGAGAAACTGTAATCTACTTAATTGACACAGTATTTTCGTGAAAAAAACTATAAAGATAGTTTTTATAGCACAGTCAGTTACACAATCGTAGATAAGGTAGATGTTATTAGAAAACTACAAGATCATTGCCATTCTTGCTGTGCAACAAATTCAAGTAATCTACGTGCGGTCGCAGCTGACACTTATGAAAGTAAAGTGATAAAACATTTAAAGTACAGTTGTTACAGAGCACAACGTACTGTAAACCGAGAAATCCAACATTTCAATTTCTTCTATATTGGTATTTAAAGTAAAATAACATTTTTTCTATTACATTGTAAACTTAATAAATAACCTTTACAATTGTATTCTTACCAACTTAGATAAATTAAAACACCTACTGAATATACGCACTTTCTAAGGATGCTAGCAGGACATTGACATGAGCAATTCAACATTTCAAAACAATTTTCCTTGCGAGATAGTTTTACTCTCACTTCAGTAGGATTGTCATTTAGAGCTGAAGTTCGTAGTATAAGAGCAATAAATTCAACATCCTTGTCGCTTTGGCCAGTGGTACCACTAAGCATAACATAATTTGCATTGAAAATACGTTCACCTTTAACATTTGGACGTGTATCATCCCTAACATAACTTGAAACACTGCTAAAACGAATAGCAGAAGAATGTCATGTAAGAGTACTGTGCTTCCTGGTCAAATAGAAACAACGAAATTACAAGGACATTATAGAGCCGTGAACATTGATGAAAGCAATTAACATTAGGTACCTAGGGCAACAAACTTTGCTAGCCGTCTTTAAACTTATATAGTTTCACGAACGTGGCTTGGCTGGACGTGGCTTGAGTTGGTACACTAACGCACAACTGAGGACACAATAATGCACCTAGCAGCGCAATTAATACAGCCGCATTCGATCGCGGTCGTGGCTCAGTGGTTAGCGTAAAGTCTCGCAAATCCTTAGTTTATTGGTTCGAGCCCCTGCTTCGCCTTTTTGGCAGAGCTACTCACTATAACAATCCAGCAACTTTGATTCATTTATTAAATATACTGAAATTACCTGCTCCCCATGTACACGAACATTCCCCAAGCTTCTTCCATAACATAAGCCTCTAACTTGATGACAGGACGGTGGGATATAGATTGGGATACTGTCTCAGGCAGTCGAGTAGGTAATTGTCGCAAAATTTAACTGGGATATACGTTGGATACATCCATCACCAACTTGGAAATCATTTATATTACCTGCGGTGTCTGATAAGAATTACGTCAACTGGTCAGTCAATACTAATGAAGCTACTTTGTAAAGAAACGATATTAAGGTGAAAAGAAAGAGCGAAGCAGTTCAAAAGAAAAAAGGATATAAAATCTGTCGAGGGATGCCAAGACATGTACGAGGAGATTGTCAAGAGTTGTCGAATATTGAAATATCCAGCTGGTGACGTTACAAGAAATTTTATCTGAGATGATGGCATACTAATCTGTGGAGGTGCCAAGGACGTGGCGTGGTTCGGACAGCCAAGACAGTGCCCGTGTGTTGGTGCACCGGTGCACAACTCAGAACATAATAATGCACCTAGCAGCGCAATTAATACAGCTGCTCTCGACAGCGGTTGTGGCTCTGCACTTAACCTAAAGTCTTGCTAATACTTAGTTGATCGGTTCGAGCCCCTACTCCGCATTTTAGCGAAGCTACTCACTATGATAATTCGATAACTTTAATTCATTTGTTTACTGTACCGGAATTACCTGCTCCCCATCTACACGATAATCCCCAAAGCTTCTTTCGTATCATTAACTATGGTCAGTCTTAATGTATATCTTTTTTCTTATTAATATTATTAAAGTGAAATTTCTTTAGGCATGTCTAGCACTTTTACATGTAGTCTTATGAAATCATCTGGCAAATCTGCCAGTGAAGGGTGCGTCAACTAGTTTCCTCCTATTTATCTTAACATGAAAAATTCGGCAAAATGGAAGCAGCACTGAACTTGCACACAGCGATTAGATATGATCTCCGTACCAGTCAGCGCTAAGATCTGTTAGTCCATTTGTCTTGCTCTCCCTCTCTCGCATGCGCACAATCGTACCCCCGTCGCAGTTACTAAATATATAAAATAGCCTTTTTCTAAACCTACTACTGCAAGGTGGAAATGATAACGTGGCTGTAGTGAGAGCTGTAACAATAGGAAACTATTTAAATAATTATTAGAGATACTAGGAGTTTACTCTAGGGCCCTGAAGGAGTAGGACTTAATATTTTATCAATTCAACCAGCTCTTCTACAAGTTGCAGCTATGACAAAAGGCATTTAGCGACGAATGGCCCCACATCCTAAGAGTTATCTTGTGGCCGTGGCAACAGATGGTCAGTGACGAGCAGTCCTGCATCCTGGGAGTTGGTGGTTGGTTAAGATTTGAACGATTCCTTGCAGACTTCCATTTCTAAATGCTCCATCACTGTAAAAAATACTTGGCGTGAATCCATGTCGACAAATGAATGAATGAATTTCTGAGGGACTGCCACCCCGTATAAATAGGCAGTCAAACAGCTAAGCCAAAAATTTGTTGTATTAGAAAACAATACAACTATGACTACTACTACTATCTCTATTCTTTAACTGTAAACAGCATTAAAAATTAATGAGTAGGGAAAAACTATTTTTTGCATCCATTGGAGCATCATTGTGCACATTATTTTTTTAAAGTGACAAAATAAATTTATCTACTTCTACAGCAGTATTTAAAAAACCAACAAATCTGAAAGAGAAAAGCAGCAGACCAAAAAATTTTAGAAGGAAAAAAGGTATAGAAACGGTAGCCAAAATAGAAACAGCAGTAAAGGAAACAGTTTTCAAGTGGTCCATAATTTTTTTTATACTCGCTCGAAAAAACTATCTTCATGAAAATCTTATTGTAGTGAAAGTATTTTTCGTATTTTTTTCTGGCACATTTGAATTTACCTAATAAAAATATCTCTTTTTAAACTAAAAGTATTTTTTTTCTTATAGTTTATTATACCTATTTACAAACGTTTGATACAAACTCTCTTCAATGAACAACTTCAACTTTTTCTTATACGCTCTCGACTAAATCTATATTTTTGAAAAAATTTTCCGAGTGAAAATATTTTTTCATATTTTTTCCTCAGACATTCACTGTTTACCTATAACATTCAATCAACTGTGGCTTAACTCCAAACTACCATACAATTTCTTCATTACTATTTGGAAATAGTAGAGGTAGCAGGAATTTATATACATGAACCTCAAGTTTTTGCGTCAAACAAGAGCAAGAAGGGACAACAGCAGTCAAGGTATTTCAATATGAACCAGGCGTCCCAAATGAAAGAATGACAGAAGTGACAGCAGCTCCAGCGCGTTAAAATGATACACCAGTAAATTTAAATGACGTTAATAGTGAATTTGGCAATCGCATTAATACAGCTAGAGAAGTAACACCTCTGATCGTAGATTTAAAACACCTAGATCTAAAAACGTTTTTTAAGGACGCTAAATATTAGTTTATAAAACGAATACATCAATCTCTTAGCAAATATAAAGCATAACAGTAAAAACAGTGTTGGCAGCTACATATGTATGTACGCATCATAGTCAAAGACAATGTTGAAATACTTCAATACAACATCACTAGCTACATTCCAGATAACACACTTTAATGACTCGTTTTATGTGAATGTACGACAGCCAATAGAAAAAAGTATGGTTGTTTTAAGTGACAAAGAATCGGGCAGGTCTTTGCACTCAATTTTGAATTTAGTTGTAAATATTAATAAACTAAATCCTATGTGAAGCAGTTATTTATAGACGTACTAGATTACGTAAAAAACAAAAATGCTTGCGTAAATTTAGTAAACAGAGTTGTTCAGTGGGCTATTCCGTCAGCGAAACATCCAACAAAAATAAATTCAAATCAGGTCTCGAGCTATGTTCATAAAAAAAAATGAGTAAAACTTTAATGGCATTGATTTTCCTATTAAGCCAAAGCAAATTAGAAAATTTGTAAACGTAAAAAAAAGTATCAGTGAATTCAAATTTGCTAAAGAAGAGGTGCGTACAACGTTTTTCCCAGTCACTAACAAATAAATAAAAATAAAGTCCATGGGAATCTTTTATTTCTTGAAAG